CTTTAGTTTGAAGAAAGCCACATGTATTTGTGTTTATAACTTCTTTAGTGTGAAGAAAGTCACATGCATTTGTGTTAAAACCTCCTTAGATTGAAGAAAGCCACATGTATTTGTGTTTATCAGTTATAACCTCTTTAGTTTGAAGAAAGCCACACATGTATTTGTGTTTATAACCTCCTTAGTTTGAAGAAAGCCACACGTATTTGTGTTTATAACCTCTTTAGTTTGAAGAAAGCCACATGTATTTGTGTTCATAACCTCTTCAGTTTGAAGAAAGCCACATATGTTTTTTTTTTAAACCTTTTTAGTTAGAAGAAAGTCAGGATGTATTTGTGTTTATAACCTCTTTAGTTTGAAGAAAGCCAAATGTATTTGTGTTTATAACCTCTTTAGTTTGAAGAAAGCCACATGTATTTGTGTTCATAACCTCTTTAGTTTGAAGAAAGCCACATGTATTTGTGTTTATAACCTCTTTAGTTTGAAGAAAGCCAAATATATTTGTGTTCATAACCTCTTTAGTTTGAAGAAAGCCACATGTATTTGTGTTCATAACCTCTTTAATTTGAATAGTCATATTCCCCTTGACTGATTTTCCTAAAACTTCCTCCAAATTTCAAGTTTTAGAATTTTCTAAATTTTAAAACAAAGTACACGTGATCTGCACTGATTTAACTCAAATTCCATCTGACCTTTCACTCAGATGGGGGGGGGGGGAGGCTCCTCATCTATTTAGATAAAAATATCTTTTGTTTTAGTTATCAAGAAGTAATTGGCAAAGTTCTCATCGAGTTTGCGTAAAAGCTTGTATCCTTTTTAACACTGGAGTTACGTCACAGATCTTGGTATTTGTCTTTGCTACCTGAATTTTTAATTTCTGAAGAAAATTAAGAAAACACATTAGACGTCTACTTACCCTGGTTTTACCGGATGTTAAAGCTTTGCTTCCGGAAATCTCTGCTGGAAAAACCGGAAATGATTCATTTCTCAGAGTTCATTAATGGAATAAAACGCTTCAACTTACTTCTTACAATTCTCATATAAACTTATTTAAGATAATTTTTTGAGTAAGCAAAAAAGTATTCTGTCGTTTTTTATCTAAATATCTTTTACAGTTAAAAATTAAAATGTGTTTATTAAATGCTTCTAAAGACTTTAAAATTCCTAAACATTTTTTTCTTTATATTTGTATCGGTTACTTAGTTAGGGGTGACATGTCAACATATTCTAATTAATTAACCATTTATTGTTTGTAATACATATTCGATTCACAATGGTACCCTTCAAATCGTGAGATATTTTGATTTTCCATCCTAAAATTGGAGTCTTAAATGGACTCTGTAAACTTGAATAGCTATATTCGTAAAGTTGCATGTCTGATTCACAACGGTCACCTTTTATAGATGAAGAATGAGGAAACCTTATACTTTTCCATGTGAACTTTAATATTTTCAAATGTTTTTTCTCTTAAAAAGTGACTTGTGAGCTGCAAGTGCAGTAGAGCTATGCTCGAAGTGTACATAGATTGGCATTTTCAGAATTTATAGATGTAAAAAATAAATACAGAACTAACTTAGAAAACCAGCTTTAACTGGAAACTTTACTTCCCATAAAAAAGTGAACCCTCTGAACTTTAAACCCTGCTAAGAACATTCATGTGGTTCTTCCAAGTTTCCCAATCAAAATTTGAGGCAAATCGGGAAATGGGTTTCTGAGTTATGATCGGACATACAAACAAACAAACAGAGATTACTGCTACATATAAATAACAGTTCTAGATCCCTTAAAGGTTAACACCAAGTGCATTTAGTGAAAAGGATATTAAAATTTTAGTTTGAAGCAAATAATCAGTAAAAAGATAATAAACATTGCATGTATTGTGTTACAGAACCTACGAAAAATGCCCATCCGACCTACGAAAAGTGCCCATCCGACCTACGAAAAACGTCCATCCGACCTACGAAAATTGCCCATCCGACCTACGAAAAATGCCCATCCGACCTACGAAAAGTGCCCATCCGACCTACGAAAAATGTCCATCCGACCTACGAAAAATGACCATCCGACCTACGAAAATGCCCATCCGACCTACAAAAAAGGCCCATCAGACATATACTAACGTGTCCATGCGACAGCTTAGAATAGGTTGGATGCACCAATATGCTGTTTTTAACGTGCCCATCCGACCTACAGTGCATCGGGCCTACCACAGCTGTTAAAACCACGTGGTTGTAGTTCGGATGGGCAGTAGAGGGTATGGGCGTAGGTCCAAAAATACACCATCTTTAAAATAGTCTAATGTACGTCAATTGTGCTATTTTTAAGCTACTAGTAAAATTATTTGGTATACCAGAACATCAATACACAAGATTGCTAAATGTCGTCTCTCTCTTCCTCATTTATACAGGTACAACTGTAGACTTGTCTTCTAATTAAGCTATATACCTAGAAACACAAACCGCTGCATTAAGGTGTGTACTCCCTGAACCCACAAGCCTAAGTCACACAGCACAATGTACGCTACCCCACGCAGAATCTGAGAAGTGAGAATACAGTTAATAGTTATTGGTTATGTAGTATATTTACCCAATACACTATGTTTTGACTTGCGTATCTATCGTATTATGCTGTGCTTTATACATATATCCGTAGTTTTGTAAACAAAAACAAATCGTAAATATCGGGAATGACAGATATTAGAAAAAACTACTTTTTTCCTACAAGTGATGATGAAAAGTGATTTTGGCGGGAAATGAAAAAGAGTTTCGTTTATTGTTATGAAATTATAGTTAAATAAATAAAATAAATGAATGAAATGGACTCATTATCAAATCAAGTTTCAGAAACAAAACTAGAATTTTTATCAATCCATATCCATAATAAATGTAATAAATTTATGCAATTAAATAACAATTAACTTAACATATCTTAACAATAAACTTTAAAGGAAGTGACGGAAATGTATGGTACTTGAACTGAGATTGCAGTATTATTGAGAAATTTTTAGGATTCATTTCAGACCTATCAGACGTGTTTAAGGTGCATCAGCAAGAGTTCAAATTCAATATTAAAATCCTCATCCATTTTAGAGGGAAGATTTTAGAATCAGTTTTATAAAAGTTATTCAAAAATGACGAAGAAAAATGTAACAAAATTTCTACAGTTAACTAATTAGATGTTTAGGAACATATTTCTCATTAGAAATATGACAATGAATCAATGTTAGAAGCAAATTGTTTCTTTTTCATCATTATATTGATTTTCTTATTCTTTGACATTTGTTCGCAGATTTCTTCAAATTCTTCAAATGTCGTCTTTTCATCAAAGTTCCAGGAAATCTGCGAAAAATAAATTTGAACATTGATAGATAGGGGAGTGTGATACATGTCTCTAGTTCAACTTTTCAAGGCCTTCTCTAACTTTAATGGTCCAGGGTGTAAGGGAGGATTTAAAGAAAGTTAAAAAAGTATGTAGAACATTTTTGAAAAATAGTTTTTTTTACTTTTGACAAATATTAACATGTGATACATGATATTATATCCATTTTTCAAGGGCTTTTTAAATATATAAGTTTTAGCGCTGTAGATTAATTAATAAAAAACTTATTAACCATTTCTGATTTTTTGTAACACCAACCCGCTGATTGTCCGTCCTCCACCCTAACCTATGCATAAAAAAATATGCATAATTTGTTTACAACTATTATTTTGAAAAGGTAAAGAAGAAAACACCCGCCCCCGCCCCCCCCCCAAAAAAAAGGAACAGGGTTAAGAAATTTATATGATTTATTAACTATAAAAGTATCTAAAATTGTGCTGTATATCCCTAGTTTTTGGATAAAGAAAAGTTGACGTGAAATAAAATCTCAAAAATCAAATTATCGAATCATGCATTTAAGACTTTCTGGCTTTCTTTTAACTTTTTGCCTGCACATAGTAGCTTTTATGCAGTTCTAGCCTAGGCAGTATAGGCAATAGCATATAGTTATGATATACACTTAAATATAAACTTTAAGAAAAGGTCAAATTAATGCAAAGTTACTGGTTCAATTTTGTGACGTTTAGCTCCTATAAATTTGGGTAGCCCAAAATTTAATTGCATACGAGATATTTAAAACTTATTAGTTCTTCTTAATAGATCTTATATCGGAAGAATTATTATTATAACCATGCAAGATACAATCGAAAGGAAAAATTACTTTACTTTGACATGAATCGTGATGCAAGTTCAAAAGACGTGTATCGTACACAAATTCTATTCAAATTTTTAAAGATTAAAATTTTGAGAATTTGACCATTTTGAATTACGTGAATGTCCATGAATAGGGTTTAAAGAAAAATATCTATTTGAAATTTGTAAAACAAAAATGAAATAAGGAAGGAACCAAGAAAATCTAAAATAATATTTAATTTTTAAAATTTCTTTTTCTCTACATTTGAAAAAGTTTAATTTTTATTCCTAGAAGTTCTTTTAAAACTATGAAGTCAAAATATTAAAATACAATCTAAGATTAGTTTTCTGTTAGTACTTAGAAAATGAAGAAAATGTTGGTAAACTTTTAAAATTTTACATCCTTTACAGTGTACACTGTATAACTTAACATTTATTTGAAGACACTTTTCTTGTAAACTTAATTTGGATTGATTCATTGATTGGCATTTCCTATTCACAACAGTACTCTGAAAACCTTTGTTTTTAATTTAGATCTTTCTTACTTTTGAATTTTCATTTGGAAAAGTGGCTTCCGCATTTTTTGTCTCAGAATTCAGACATACTGTAGAAATTATCAGAACTGGGAACTTTAGAATGGTGGATATCAGGATTAATGCTTAATCCCCTTTTTTGCTAATCTCGAGATTACGTTAGTCTTTAGTTTAAATATTTAGATCAACAAATTGGATTCTAAGAACGCCAGATTGGTTCGTTTTCTTGACTGGAAGGGCCTTCACTTAATTTCTCACCCATTTATTTATCAAAACATTAGTTAAAANTAAAAACAACAACAAAATTTAAAATACATTTTTTGTTCTAGAGTATTGTTTTGGGAGGACTTGCGATCATGTTGTATTTCATAATCAAAAAACAAAATTCAGTTCAGGTGATCGATTTTTTTTTTATCAAAACCAATATCCTTTTTGTGTCGTTTTTTTGCTCATTTTTTATTATTTTTTCATGTCTGATTTTTATTCTATCCGTTCTATATAAATTCAATTAAACTTTTTGTTAGGCTTTTTTCAAACCTTACAATCTTTGAAACCCAATGTTGTAAACTTATGATATTTCAAGCTATGAATTCTCTTTGGATAAAATAATCTCAGTTCAAAATATCAAGTTTTTACAACCAGGTTGCAAAGGAATAGGTATTAGAAAATTTGAGTTTGCGACAAAGACTCAATTCCTTTATATTGATATTTATTTATTCAATAAATTATTTACAAAATTAAGCTGTTGTTATTTTCATATTCATCGTATTCATTCATAGAGAAAATACATTTATTCGTCAATATTATTTCAATTTTTTCAATTGATCTAAATCTTTTAAAAATGATGTTAAAACTTTCAATTTCCATAATATCTAATTTCTGATGAATTAAATCCTCTAAATTCCTCTCCTTCAAGAGTTCAGAGTTTGATCAAATGAAGAGTTTAGAAGACTTACTCAAGGTAAAACTTAGAATGCTTTTAATGGGACTGTTGGCGTAATTTCAAGTGACTCTATAGCTCTATTTCAAGTGACTCTATAGCTCTATTTTTAATAGTACAGGGTGTCCCAATAAACATGGGAATTCAGTGACGAATTCGATATCGTCTTTTTAAATAATTCTTTGATTTAGTATAGTGATACCTATACTGAGAAAACTGTAATCCGTAAGATTTTTGTCTGTTTGTTTGTTTGTTTATGTTTTCGTCTGCTATGTTTACATTTTGTTTGTTTATGTTTTGACTGCATACGGTTGTGCTTAGTAAAACAAGAAAACTGCAGTATACAAACAGAGTAAACTTGTCCGTCTTCACTGTTCATTTTGCGGAGACATTATAGACACATCTTTATTTAAGCCATTCACCGTTTTCATAAAATAAACTCTAGCAGACATAATAATATAATTTCTTTTGAAATTAGGTATTACAATGCTAATTCATAACAAAGACGATATCAAGTTCGTTACTGAATTCCCATGTTTATTGGAACACCCCCTGTAACATCCTAGATATTTGACTATATTTTTTTTTTTTGAGGGGGGGGGTTCTTGGTGCGATTCATTCTGAAAATGATGAATTCCTGATTGTTACTTAGATAAAGGCCTCGTTGTTAATCGGTTATGTAACTCTATAAATAGAGTGTCACTTGAAATATATCTTTTTCTTTCTATTTCTAGGAAGTTAAAACTAGAATTGGAGTAACTAGAACCAGTTGGCAGATAAAATTAGGTACGTGATGTATATAAAATTAGGTACGTGATGTATATAAAATTAGGTACGTGATGTATATAAAACGATACAATAAAAAAGCTTTTCCTTATGTTTTTACTTTGCTACCTTGATTTTCTTTTATGAAGTAAGGTATGTACTTTTAAATTCAGTTCTATAGAAGGGTGGGGGAAGTGGGGGCACTAGCATCGCGCCTAACTTTTTGATTTTAATCTAGATTTTTGTTGCTAATTTTTTTCGATTTTGCAGATTTTTGTTGTTTTCAAAATTCAAGGAAAATTTTTATTTTTAATGCAAATAAAATTGATACAAATAAACAATAACAAACACACCAACAAAAAAAAACACTCGGACACCCCAATTTGAAATATAAATTGGGGCTACATTTACTTCCTTACTTAATAAAGCTCTTATATGCATATATACTTAGATGGATAGATAGATAGATAGATATATATTGGACTATATATATAATTAAAAACAATTTCAATTGTACAATTTTACAATTTAGACAGGGCCTCTCTAACCATCGTTGGTCATTTAGAATATATGTTTGCTATAGCTGGTCAAGCGGCTAAAACTTTTCAAGGTAACCTGTGGCTACCCCGGAGCTTGTATCGACTAAAAAATGATAAAATGTTTTTTTAATTCCACGGGTAACGCCGGGCATCTTATGCGCGGGTGAACAGTGGGAGTAACTTTAGACTATATACATAAAAATATAAATAGCTAGTGAAACAAATTTGACTTTTACTTATTTACTAGATGAAACGGGAGAGTCTGTGGACTTTGTTCTGGAAAAATCTCTGGAAAAAATAAAAAATATTATGTTTACAAAGGTATGAAATATTTCGCTGTGACTCAAAATTGGAATTGGAAGTTTAATTTTTAACAGCATAAAAACTAAAATATAAAATCAACAGAAAATTGCTCAAAACTAGGAGTGGACAATTTTCCGTTAACTAACGACAAAAAAAAACATTAAATTTGAAATCGTTAATGAACGGGAAAAACGTCATTCTAAACAAATTTACGGTTACTAAAAAATAACGAACGGATGTGTTGATTTTTCAACTTAAATGTTAAATTTACGTGAAACTTTATTTTAAGTATTTGGCTGTTAATTTGCGTGTTTTTGTATTCTTTAACGGCTGGCACTAGTCACCACTAACGAATTCTGGAATATCTTTCATTAACGCATTAATTTAGATCGCTAACAAAACAGTAATTTTTAAAATTAACTGAAAATAACATTAACGAACGGCATTCAGTTATTAGCTAAATAACAAACGGCTACGTGAACATTTATTTAAAGATTTAACTAACCGTTAATGAACGGGTTGATCATGATACCAGGTTTTTTATATCTTTTTTGAATTTTTAGGAAATGCAAGAAGCACTTGATACGATATCATCATCTATAGGTTGAAGTTGCATCTAATACTCAAATATTAGAGAAAAGAGGGCTCAATTCTGAAATTGTATTCAAATAAAAGAAATAAATTCTACAAGATTTTGAAAGCCAATTGCAATTTGCGGTTTAAAAGTAATTCCAAGTTTCTACCCCCTATTTAAAGTTAATTGCAAAAAAAATGGTATAAACATCTTAATAAAGACTTTTGACTGTTGAGGGATGTTTAAAAATAATGCAATTTCTAGAAAAGTTGAAACAATTTGATCTTGAGGCTAAACAATATGGTAGTCCGTTGTTCTTGCTGTTCGCCATTTTGAAGCGGGTTCAGGCTGACATCATGCGAGAGCAAGCAGAGAACCTAGCGGACGAAAACGAAACTACTTTTTTACCAAACCAAATATTCTCTATGAAGCGGTAAATTTCTTCTTGCACACTTTTTAAATAATTTTCCTAACGGGATTGTTCTTTTTTTAATATTATTTTATATTGTATTCTATTCTAAAACTGGTGAACATTCCGTTTACAGTGTGTTTAAAAAATATAGGGCTTCCAGCGGACGCAAACTTTCGCAAAAAAATCTGAATTTCGTAAACCTTTTCTTTTGTATTTTGCAAACTTTTTTGCAAAATTTCCCATTTTTTGTAAAAATTAATTTTGCAAAATAAAGCGAAAACGATGTAAAATTTAATGGAAAATACCTGACAATTTTGCTATAAAAAGTGCGAAATTTTCCTGATATAAAAAGATTTAAAAAATATTTCGCGAAATTCTCACATTTTTGTTTTGTTTTGCGAAATCATTTTTCTTGCGAGAAAGATTAACCCTAAATTTCGCGAAAAAGACGAAATTTTTCGCATTATTTTTCTTCGACGGAATGCAAAATAATGCCAAATTTTTGACGAACATTTTTTCTCGTCCTATTATGCACTGTTGCAGGATTGGAAACTATGCTTTAAATGTTTATGATGCATCCTGGGCCCTTACCAAACATGGGATAGCAAAGGTAAACATATTTACATCTAATTTTCCTTATCAAACATGTGTCCGCAACTTTCTGATCATTTTTGAAGGGCCAATCGTTGTGAATCGAGCATATACCACTTTTAATAAAGAGTTATTTGAAATTATAACAACCAGTCCCTTTAATAAAGTATTCCTAGACTATGTTGATAGAAGAAGAAGACATTCTCTACACTTGGTTCAAGGTGAAAAAAAATCCCCTAAAAATGTTTTTTATTAATTCGCAAAATACATTAATTAATTGTTTTCAACCTAGGAATTCTTAGAGGAAAATAATAATTATTGAAATAAACTTTGAACTACCCAACAAGTATTTAATGTAAATTTAGATGAAAACAAGAAAAATTCTTCGCAGCACAGAATGTTTTTTTTATTTATTTAGGCTTTTCGGGCGCTTTCCTTATAATAATTTTAGCTTTTAACTGTGGCTCCGAAATGTTCTCAAATCTTTGTAGAACAATTATAAGTCTCGGGCAAAATTGTTCAACTTTGAAAATCCATTAACCTTTTCTGTTGTCATGTAGATTACCACAAAAAATGTGGTGCAATCGGTTCAGCCGTTTTATACAAACGGACAGACAGACAAACTAAGTTTATGTATAGATATGGATGGTAAAAAAGATTAAATTGTTTTAAATCTTAAATCCAATATTAGGACGAATCCCAAGAAGCGCACTGTCCAAAATTCATCCTATTTAAAGGTAGAATATATTTGTTTAAAGGTAGAATATATTTGTTTAAAGGTAGAATATATTTGTTTAAGTGTAGAATATATTTGTTTAAAGGTAGAATATATTTGTTTAAAGGTAGAATATATTTGTTTAAAGGTAGAATATTTGTTTAAAGGTAGAATATATTTGTTGCAAGGGAAAGGTTTATAAACCAGAATATAATTTAAATATGTGTCATAACATACTTTTTACATGTTAATGGAGAAATTATTTCAAAAAACTTTAATCTAAGATGTTCACAGCGATATCTCTAAGTTTTATCTGAGTAACAATAAAGAAAATATTTTGTTTAAATATCCTGAAAAGTTTTTAATTTTGATATTTATATCATTTATATTAATAAATTAAATTATCAGATATAAATATAACAGAACAAATTAAAAAAAATTATTTTTTAACGAAATTTCTCGTAAACTAAAATAAAATAGATAATAAGCAAGAAATAATTATCAATTTAAAATTCAAAAATTAAGAATTATAAAAAAAAATTTTCCTAGATGATGAGCTTGAATCAATTATTCTTTCTATTCGAGGAACTTTTAGTATAAAGGTATTCTCTACTTTATCTACTTTAAAGCAACATTTTCCATATTTTTGGAGAGATTTAACTGAATGAAATCTTGAGAAAAAAATTATTAGTTTTTAAAAAAATTGTGCCATTTTTGCCAAATTTTAGAACGTTTTGGAAACTGACAATTTTTGTCGTCAAAAATCATTGGAATTTAACGAAATTTTCGAAATTTGTTTAAACGTCACCAGATAGATTATATTAATGTATTATTATTCTGATTGTTTATACAAGGATGTAGTAACTGATGTAGTTTGTGTAGATCAACCATTTTTAGGTAATTTTTTTGTGAAAAATAGAAAATTTGGACAATCCTTATGCTTGACATTGTACTACAAGATTTAATACAGTGGTAGACGTTTTCATCAGTACAATGAAGACGACGTATCTATTTAGGTTTTGATGTTCAAAGTGTCTTCATTGTATTGATAAATACGACGACGACTGTATGAAATAAAAAAAACTTATTCTCAGTTTTCTTTGGAAATTCTTTTATATATTATATCACCAGAAATATAGCTAAACTATGTTGGCTGGGAAATCAATTACTTCTCTAGTGCACTCTTGTTGATACTAGAAAAGTAGTTGAACTCTCCGAACCTAATTTAACTACTTATTGTACAGATGGGCACGCTCACAAAGGTCTGGTAAAAGGTGCACTTCAGATAATTACTCTAGTTCAAGAATCATTGAAATCTGCAGTTCAGAACCATCCAGGATTTAAGGTTTATTTTCTTTTTTTTATGGATTTTTGTCCTGGTCTGTCCTGTTCCTTCCTGTTCTTTCATTTTTCATTCTTTTCTGTCCTTTTTGACACTTGAATAATCTGTCTAAATATTTATTGATTTAAATTTTGTCTAATAATTTATGTTTTAGATATTAAAAAAAAATTCCATTTGCTAATTTTTGCCCAGTGTGATTGGAAATTTGTTATTGTTTTCTTCAGTCTTTCCTAAAATGTAACTAAGAATGTTGTTTAGAATTTTATAGTCTTTGCCCAAAACTCAAATGTTTTAATTCCTACATCTTTACAACCTGATGGTGTAAACCTTTGACATTTCAAACTTGGATTATTTTATCTAAAAGAATGCATAGTTTGAATAGCTTATGTCTACGCTACTAAGCTGCAATTTGCAAAGATAAAGGGATTAGAAAATCAGAGTTTGTGGCAAAGGATAAATTCCTTTGTTACAATTCCTTTTTAAAAATTGGGCCTTAAACATTTTCATCCTTCAGAGATTTAACATTAAGTATTTCCTAGTTGCATTATTAATTAGATAAATGGATAATCATTGAATTGTTTTCTGTACATAAATATTCAGAGCTGGGATCAATTGCGTTGGATACCCTGAATCCTAATCCCTTGATCTTCTTATTCAGATTAAGCATTTTGCGTAGAACCTGCTAAATTTCTGGCTTTTGAATATCCGAAATTTCAGCTGTTCTGTCATCTGTTGAACGCAAAATTCCCTTCTGATAGGCTGTTCACGGGATATCTGATTGGTACTACACGGGATATCTGATTTACAAGTTTATACGTAATCAAAGAGAAGTTTTTTATCTGACAGCTTATCTTAACTTCTAAGTGTTAAAGCTCGATATAAATTCAAATTTAAATCTAAAGTCGTCTTTATTGTATTGAGATAATCGCCTACCACTGTATATATATGTTTAGAATCAAGACAAAACATGTAAAAAAATATGAATATCTAGGTAGTACTGACCGGCCATTCGTTGGGAGCAGGTACAGCGGAGCTGATCTACCTGGAGTTAACACTGGGAGCTAGCAGTAATATTCTTCCTCCAGGTATTAGATCTACCTGGAGTTAACACCGGGAGCTAGCAGTAGTATTTTTCCTCCAGGTATTAGATCTACCCGAAGTTAACACTGGGAGCTAGAAGTAGTATTCTTCCGCCAGGTATTAGATCTACCTGGAGTTAACACTGGGAGCTAGCAATAGTATTCTTCCTCCAATTATTAGATCTACCTGGAGCTAACACTGGGAGCTAGCAGTAGTATTCTCCCTCCAGGAATTAGATCTACCTTGAGCTAACACTGGGAGCTAGAAGTAGTATTCTTCCTCCAGGTAATAGATCTACCTGGAGTTAACACTGGGAGCTAGCAGTAGTATTCTCCCTCCAGGTATAAGATCTACCTGGAGTTAACACTGGGAGCTAGCAGTAGTATTCTTCCTCCAAGTATTATTGTTCAGGGTACCCAAAAAGGATGAGACTTCAGAGACGACTTTACGAAATTCACACTGTCTGTTTCCTTTTATATTCATGATTCCCTCCAACTGTAAACTTGTTTGTTTCTTTGCCAAATCATTATTAAAAGATTATATGTTATTTAAGGGAGAAGAATTAAATTAATCTTGGGATCTGTAACCTATATTTATATATTCGATATATATAAAGTTGTAATCTCTGCTTGGGTGTTTGTTTGGATGTTTAATTTCCGATCATAACTCAGGAACCCCATGATCGATTTGCCTTAAATATATTGATTGAGAAACTTAATAAAACCACCGGAATGTTCTCCGCGGTTATTTTACTTTATATGAAATGTTTCAGCTTTCATGCATGGCTAGGTTACCAAGCTAGTATAATATAAAGTAGTAATCTCTGTATAATTGGTTGTCTATGTATGAAAAGTTTCAGCTTTCATGCAAGGCTGGGTTACCAAGCTAGTATAATATAAAGTAGTAATCTCTGTATAATTGGTTGTCTATGTATGAAAAGTTTTAACTTTCATGCAAGGCTGGGTTACCAAGCTAGTATAATATAAAGTAGTAATCTCTGTATAATTGGTTGTCTATGTATGAAAAGTTTCAGCTTTCATGCAAGGCTAGGTTACCAAGCTAGTATAATATAAAGTAGTAATCTCTGTATAATTGGTTGTCTATGTATGAAAAGTTTCAGGTTTCATGCAAGGCTAGGTTACCAAGCTAGTATAATATAAAGTAGTAATCTCTGTATAATTGGTTGTCTATGTATGAAAAGTTTTAACTTTCATGCAAGGCTAGGTTACCAAGCTAGTATAATATAAAGTAGTAATCTCTGTATAATTGGTTGTCTATGTATGAAAAGTTTCAGGTTTCATGCAAGGCTGGGTTACCAAGCTAGTATAATATAAAGTAGTAATCTCTGTATAATTGGTTGTCTCTGTATGTTTGCATGTCTCATCATAACTCATGAATCCCTTGACGTATTCGCCTGATATTTGTATTTTGCGACTCGGTAAAACAAGTGGAATGTTCTTAGTTTTAAAAGTTATTTTTAAGTTACATGGGTTGACTTTGTGTTGCCGGAAAGTTTAGTTTCCCGGCAAAGTTGGGTTTCCAAAGCTGATATAGCTTGTTAATTTAGCATTGTAGAAAAGAAAATATGGGCAAAATTCAATTAATGGCATTTTCCTAAATCTGTGGGTCGATGAAAAATATATTGCTAGTTCCTTTATGAATACTTTAAAATGAAAGTCATTAATAGTTATAACTGAAGACGACATAAAATAAATTCAACGTTTTAATTCAAACATTTTGTTCAGGAACAAAAGTTGAATGCCTAGCACTAGCGCCGCCTCCAGTATACCGAAGCTCCACAGGTTTTAATTGTCCCCAATTGGCATGATTTACAACGGTACCCTTAAAAGCTTTGAATTGGATATCCATTATTTGCAGTTGTTGGTCACTTGCTTCAGAAACAATATTAATAAAATTAATAGAAAATGCAAAAAAAATCATTTCTGACACCCCTAGGCTTAGTACGTCAATATGATTCACCAAATCCATACTGCAGTCCTTCAATTATCATACAGGGAAATTTTCATCTTTCTAAACATCCCAGGGAAAGATTTGACAGGTTCTTTAGGTTTAATTTGTTATGAGGAATTCACCTTCTTAAAATGGAAGGCCACTAAATATTAAGTGCAGTCCCTTAAATAAAACATTTTAAATAATAATTGTTAAGTATTTTTTTCTTTTTAGAACTTCCTGATAAAGTGCAGGATTCAATTAAAATCATTATTTTCAACAACGACCTAGGAACATTTTAATGATAACAAACAAAAAGAAAAAAATTACAGTTTAACCCTAAAAACTGTGGAATAGGAATAGGAAGCTTTATATCAACATCAAATTATAAAATATTATCTTTTCATTTAAAACTTGTAAAGCTCCTATAAGCTTACAGGGTGTCCCACATCATGTTAGATGTCGTTGGGTCTAAATTACGATTTTCGAGAATAATCAGAAAATATAAGAAGAAAAAATGATTTTGAAAAATAAAATAAGGCTAGTTTGTTTTTCGAGTGTTATCTGTTTATTTTGGCGTTAAGGCTTGGAGACAATCTAATATGATTTGGGACGCTCTGTTCCTCCGCAACTTTTCCATTTTATAAATATCTTGCAAATCAAATTTGTAAAAACCTCACAAGTTTTTAAGAGATTTAAAAAATAAATAATATCATCAACATTTGTTATCAATATGTGTTTGTTAGTCCCAAGACTGAGTTTAGGTAAGTTATCAAATAAAAAAAAATTTAGTTGCAGGGTGTCATCCGACAAATGAGAAACCGAAGTCGTCTTTGTTCGTCAGAATTTTTCTTGTGGCATTCATTTGTCAACCTACATTTCCATGTATAATTCTTGAACCAATGGGATTTCCAAAATTCAGGCTGCCATATTTCTGCCTCAATATTCCAGGAATTTGGTTCAGATTTCAATTTTTCAAAGAAATCAAAACTGTCAAAATCTTAACAAACTTTTCCATTTCTCCGAAATGGCAGACCTCATTTTGGAAATATCATGACAAGGGTTGTTTCGTTGTTGATGAAATGATCCTACGCAAAAAAACAAAAATACTAAGAATGTAAAAATATATTTCGACCTTGGTTGTCCCATTTTACATAATTCTTTCTGACAAAAAAGACAAATTCAGTTTAAACAAAATAACCCTGTAAGAAAATTAATATTTAATATTGATTTTAGGAAACATTGCAAACCTTCTGGTTAAGTTGAGGTAAAAATAATAAAGTATTGAAAATAGAATTGATGACAATTAACAACAAAAACGTAACGGTTATTTCAAAAGATTAACAGTTATTAAAAAAGAACGCACTGATGTGATTTAAAAGATGCAGCAACTTTCGTTAAATTGTTCAACTTAAATTGCACGGAACTTACAGAAATTGAAATAAAATGTTATGTATTTTTATGTCTTTTACTGTTTTGATGTTTTTTAAGTGTTGGTTAAAATAGTCTGCGGCACCACTAACGATTTGTAAAAAATAACGTACGTCCGTTAACGCCGTCACTTAATGAACAGTAATTATATATAACGGAAAATATGAAGTTATAGAACTGGATTTTCAGCATGCACTTACCCGATGCCGTCCAACCCTCACCCGTTTTGCCTTCCGGCAATTTGTATATGTAATTATTTTAAGTCTGAAAATTGTTTTATTTATTTTAGGCAGCGTCAGGCTGGCATAGGGTTTCCAAAAAAAAATTTTCTCAGCCCTTTATCTTACCTTTATATCTTAACTTTACACTCTTCCCTTTCACTTCCTAGCTGTTTTAATATTTTCTAATATTTTCATCAGAAGTCTGGATGATTTAAACATTCCAATAATCTCTCTAATTTCCATTCTCATCAATAAAATCAGGTACGTTTATATCGAGCGGGTACATAATTTAGAGAATAACAACCCCCCCCCCCCTTTCCCTCCTTCTAGGAAAAAAAAGCATGTATTTTCATCCTTTTTGATACTGTAAACCCACGAATTTACTATTTTCCTCTAAAAATCATTTATTTTTCCCAATTTCAATCTAACTTCTTTTCAATAAAATATACACCCCTGTTATATTTTCTAACAGTGGTTGGCATTTATTCCAATACAATTCTGACGGTTTTCTTTTTATGTTTTTTTTTAACCTGTTATCTAGGGAGAAAAATGCATAACAATGAAGAATATTTTAACACTTTTAACATAAATTAATTTATTATCATTCAAGAGAAACATTTAAAAATATAGAATTTTTTTAAATTTTCCCTTTAGTAAAGAAGAAGAGGAACATCTGCAAGGGATCCGTGATACTTTAGAAAAGGTTAAATTTTTTTTTCTTTTTTTATTTATTTTTTTTCTCGCTATTGTCTTTATCTTTTAAAATTAAAATAACATCTACATAATACATATTAAGTTTACCTATATATTGTAATAAACCCTGAATTTGGTTTTTAGGCTCAGCAGACCCAGTTTCCACATTTACAGCACCCGGGGCGGATTCTTCACTTTAAGCGAATAAAACAACAAATAAGGTTTCTTAAACAAACAAATAAAATTGTAATTATTCTATTTGTTATGCATCATGCCGGATTGTTTGTTTTCTATATTTTGATAAACACAGTAAACATTGTGATTAATGCTGGAAGCTAAGACCCTTTACATTATATGTATACAGACACAGTTCTATATTACATTGAATTAATGCATGTTACACTAGCTTTATACATGTTTAAAAATACAATATTTTTTATCCTAGAAAACTGCAAACTAAGAAAACGACATAAATCGATATTTGATGATTTTATGTTCATAGAGATTTTTGAAATCAATACTTAAGTCTAAAAGTCGTCTTTCTATTCCACGGTTTTGTGGTTCCAATTGTATGACATGAATATTTAGACCAAGAAGTGAGGATTCCTCAATATTTTCAACGACAATTCTGCTACTGGAGGTGATTTTTTATAACAAAAATATTAATCTTCATTAATGCCCTCTTATATTTAATCTTGTTCTAGTTGGTTGCAAAGTTGTATCTTGTTCTAGTTGGTTGCAAAGCAGTATCTTGTTCTAGTTGGTTGCAAAGTATTATCTTGTTCGAATTGGTATCGAAGCAGTATCAATTGTTTTAGTTAGTTGCAAAGTAGCATTTTGTTCTAATTAGATGCAAAGCAATATCTTGTTCTAGTTGGTTGCAAAGCAGTATATTTTTTAAGTTGGTTGCAAGCATTCTTGTTCTAGTTGGTTGCATAACAGTATCTTGCTTTAGTTGGTCGTAAAATAGTATCTTGTTCTGGTTGGTTGCAAAGCTTATCTTGTTCTAGATGATTGCAAAGCAGTATCTTGTTCTTAGTTTGTTGCAAAGTTGTATCTTGTTCTTATTGGTTGCAAAGCAGTATCTCGTTCTAGTTGGTTGCAAAGTATTGTCTTATTCTAATTGTATCAAAGCTGTATCAATTGTTCTAGTCGGTTGTAAAGCAGTATCTTGTTCTAGTTGGTTGCAAAGCATTATCAATTGTTCTAGTTGATTACAAAGCAGTATCTTTTTATAACTGGTTGCAAAGCAGTATCTTGTTTTTATTGGTTGCAAGCAGTGTTTTGTTCAAGTTGGTTGCAAAGCTGAATCTTTTTTTGTAGGTTGCAAAGCAGTAGCTTGTTCTAATTGGTTGCAAAGAAGTATTTTGTTGTAGTTGGTTGCAAAGCTGTAACCTGTTCTATGGTTGCAAATCAGCATCGTATTCTAGTTGCTTCCAAGCACCAAGAAATATATAAAGACACGATGGAACCGCCAAATCTGATGCGTCAAATCTGTCTAGCTGTAATGCAGTGGAAGGAGATCAAAACAAAGAATTGAGAGAAAAAGCATCATTTATGTAGGGAAGTGGGAATAAGAAGTTATGTCGTAGGTTTAAAAGGAAGGTTTCGAATATAGAGGGAAGTTTTTAAATAAAGCTAGAAAAAAAAAGAAAAAATATTCCGACCAATTGGCTTTATTGCATAAATCTTGCTTTAAATTACTACATTTTCCATAACGACCATGTGACCAAATCTTATTTAAATAATTAATTGTATCTGCATATTATAGCTTTTAATCATGTTTTATAATTTTATTGGAAGATAAAACTGTCGCAACACAGGTTTTGGCAAAGCTTTAATCCTTCCCCTTCAGAAGTTTTTTTTTTTAAATCAAGGAGACTCTGGGTTACATTGCTCCCAAAGAGTGCAGTACACAATTTTTTCGTACATATGAGTTGGGCGAATTCCTGCCAGCGTAGGGAGGGGGTGCAGGGACGCCATGATCCCCGCGAAATGGTCTGCTGGATTCGCAGATAATATTTAAAATTACATGGTGCTACCTCCAAACGTACTAGTATAAATATTCTATATACAGGGTGTCCCACAAAACATGACATTCAATACATAGTTATTTTTAGTTAAACAAATCTTTTGCTTAATTATATTTTACTTTGAAATTAATTTCAATATGACATGACTCTCATATAATATTTGTATTTATATTTGGCATCAAACAACTTGACAAATTATGGAAAAAGGAATTCTAAACTATTCACCAACTGTCATGTTTCGTGGGACACCCTGTATATCAAATGTTTTATTAGTTATACCATGTTTTTTTGGATATTTTAGAAAACTGCTCTGCATAAACATATTTAAAGATTTAACATTTTATTTAAGAAATGTTATTTATTACCTCTAAAATGACTATTCTAACTGCACCCCCATCCCTCACTACCCTCACATGTATTGTGTATATGTTCCTATATATGGCAAACATTTATGTTCTACAGCAAAACAAAATCTTATCCTTTAGTTGGGTTGCAATGCTATAATATGATTTGTTTCTAGGGGTCTGAAAACCTCCTAACAACCATAGATTTTACAATTCATGGGAAGGATAACCACTAAGTAAGTTAGGTAAGTTTAATTGGTTTAATACACTATTATTCCAAGTCGAACACAAAATCACAAACAGACGATATCTATAAATGTCGTCGTTGAGAGCAAATTGCGTAGATATTTGTACTTTGGTCCGCAGCATAACCAAACCAAATATTTCTAAATTGACGCGGAGTTAAAAACATTTTGAGGTCAAAATAATGTTAAATCCGCGCAGTTTTACTAAGTTTTGCCACCCCACCCCCCCACCGGCCCCTTATTTCCTAAAATCCTAAGTCACTTTTTGCGTCTTTTTAATTTTCTTTTTTTTCAGACAAAGCTTTATTTTTCGTGCATGAAAGGGAAGAATTAAAAATATAAGAACTGAGACGAAAATCACATTTCTTTCCAAAATGACTGATTCGGTGGTAGTCAAAGAAGGGTTACTACACAAGCGAGGTAAGATTTATTAGTTTTGCATAGTTAAGCTAAATACCGGTAAGTTCCTAGAGAACGATTTTTGGGCCCTCCGCTGCCCCCCCCCCTCATTAATTTTGTAAATTGATATAATTGATTAGCTGACCGGAGCGCCCGGCACTGTAGCATGTGCGCGCCGCGGTGCACGGCCCTCAGCCTGTCCTAGCCGCAGCGCTCGGCCTCCTAGCTGCAGCGCTCGGCCCCCGTCCTGTCCTAGCCGCAGCTCGGCCCCCTAGCCTATCTTAGCCGCAGTACTCGGCCCAGAAATTGTTTAACCTAACCTAACCCTAAATAATATTGTTATTGATGAAAAATAAGTGGTCATGTACAAAATTTATAGGAGGGGGGCGGGAGGGGGCCTGAGAGGGGAGGGTTCAAAAATCGTTCTCTTGAACAGACCCAAATTACCATTTGATATAATGTTATTTTAGTTTTTAGTTATGCAGAGGGGATTGGGTTAGAATTCAATGTTACGTTCATTCTTAATGACGTTAAAGTGGGAATCTACTTCTCCCCTCTCACTCTCTCTCCTCAATTGTTTTAATGCATGTTTTAAATTGAAAGAAGGGGGGGCGGGTTTAATCAAGTTAATCCAAATTTACAAACTCTTTCAAATTTTATCCATGACGTTGACTTCGATGCTTCCGTTAATCTGACTAAGACTGGCTCTCCTTTTATATGGTTGTGGATCCCTTCCCCCCACCCAAGTTTTTCATTTTTCACTAAGTCTAAATATGTTATTCGAACGTGACTCTAAATATGTTGTTCGAACATGACTAAATATATTCAAATATGTCACAAAATATACTCGAACATGACACTAAATATATTCTAACACGCAACTAAATATATTCGAACATGACACTAAATATATTCTAACACGCAACTAAATATATTCGAACAATATATTCTAACACGCCACTAAATAGATTCGAACATGCCACTAAATATATTCTAACACGCAACTAAATATATTCGAACATGACACTAAATATATTCTAACACGCAACTAAATATATTCGAACATGACACTAAATATATTCTAACATGCCACTAAATAAATACGAACATGCCACTAAATATATTCTAACACGCCACTAAATAGATTCGAACATGCCACTAAATATATTCTAACACGCCACTAAATATATTCGAACATGCCAATAGATATATTCGAACACGCCTCTAAATAGATTCGAACATGTCACAAAATATATTCGAACATGTCACAAAATATATTCGAACATGTCACAAAATATATTCGAACATGTCACAAAATATATTCGAACATAACACTACATTTGGAGGATCATTGGACATTTTGTCTATATTCCCTAATATCGTAGATATAAAAAATTCCAACATTAATTTTATAAATTTTGTCATTCAAATATTACGCCTCTTATTAAAATTATAATAATTTTTCTTCACATTTTTTAATCAGTGGTTCTGAATCTGAGAATTGGAAAAGCAACAAGATTAGGGTTTTCATTTTCTTTAGCCGAGTCATGTTCAAACTCAATTCTTTGCACGGTATTTATTCAAGCTTAAATAGAAGCAAAAGCATGGTTATACTTAAGTAATTGAACTCTAGATCCTTTTCATTTTCCCGTTTTTCATCTTGTTATTTTCAGGAGAGCACATCAAAAACTGGCGACAGAGATACTTTATCCTGAAGTCAGATGGACAGTTCCTGGGGTTTAAATCTAAACCAAATATTCCCCAAGAAATGTCCGATCCTCTCAACAATTTTACTGTCAAAGGTTAGAATCAATTTAATCCTTTAAAGGCTAGATTATGTAGTAATGGAGAGAGTAAATTCGGTTGACAAATTTCACCAGAAGGGATGGTATGCAGAAGAAACTTTTTTAATATTAGTTAATACCCCGGATGAAAAAATAAAAAAATTCTATTGTGAAAGGTCTCATTGGTATCAAATTAATCCGAATATTTTGATTCTACTACGTTAGCTAGAATCTATAGATAACTTTTGATTGACCATTTACACATTAATTACTTCTTTTTATTAAACTTTTCATATTTATTACCAATAATTAAATTAACCTTCATTAAAAACTTCAATTTATTTTTGGGTTAGCGTAGTTATTAAAAAGTTTTTACATGCTTACAGATCCTTTTTTCCCGAAAATTAATATATTTTTTCATATTTTTAAAAAAATTTCCAATTGAGTGAACTAACCTTTTTTTAAATTATACCTATCATCTAGCATGAAGGAGGAGGGGGGGATAACTGTCAATGGAAAAACCCTCGTCTATTTGCAAGGTGGATTAGGGGATGTAAAAACAAAATGTATACCCCTAGTCTCTGTAGGTTGTCAGATAATGCAGGCGGAGAGACCTAAACCAAATACATTCCTCATCCGTGGTCTTCAGATGACAACAGTCGTAGAGAGAATGTTTCACGTAGAGACTCCTCAAGAAAGGTATAGACAAACGACGACGGTTTAAAGACAACACTCGATACGACTACAGACGAATGATAACGATTTATAAACGGAATTCGACAGTCTTAAAGATTACAGACGCGCGATGTCGGTAATACAGACAACAATCGACAGTTGTAGAGACTGCAGATTAACTACGCCGGTAATACAGACGGCCATCGACAGTTGTAGAGACTGCAGATTAACTACGCCGGTAATACAGACGGCCATCGACAGTTGTAGAGACTGCAGATTAACTACGCCGGTAATACAGACGGCCATCGACAGTCGTACAGACTGTATGTCAAATGATGACTGTAGTGACGTAGTATATATAGACGACAGTCGTAAAGACTGCAGACGAATGATGACTGTTTATAACGACAGTCGTAAAGACTACAGACGAATGACGACGGTATACAGACAACAATCAACAGTGGTATTGACGACAGTCGACAGACTACTTTTTTACTTTAAGGATTTGGGAACTTAACATTGATGGATTCCTTGTTTTAGATAATTGCTAGAACTAAAATACTAGACATTATTTTTATTTAAAGTTTTAAAGCCCAATATATTCGGATTCTAGTATTTGATGAAGCTTAATCTTGATTCAGTTTATCTGTGTATCGGGGCTACTTACTTTTTTGTTCGTTTAAAAAACAAAAAAAATTGAACAAAATTTGAAAGTTTATTATTTTTTATCTTGCACTATGTGGTAAGCATTTTGTCAAAATAAAATTTTTTGTAAAACATAATTTCCACCTGGCATTTCTAGGCGTTGGATGAAAATCAGTTGCTTTTTCAAAAATCTTTGAAATATTTTTATACGACAAAAAAATTGTTGGACAACAAATTTACAACAGTTTTAAAATTTGTTTTGTTTCAGAAAAGAGTGGATTGAGGCAATAGAATCAGTTAAACGAAAACTGGAGGTATCTTTTTTAGTTTAAAGAATTAAAGAAATGTGTTAGGTTTAAAAGGGAAATTTTAGCATGTTTAATTTATAATACAAACGAAACGCCAAAGACGATTTCGGGGAGGGGGAGGGGGTTCAAAATTAAGTCCAAGAGAGTGAGCGTTTATGAGTCTAAGAGCTAAAGTGAATATTTAACAATTTTAAAGAATTGAAGATGAGCACAGTGTAAATCTTTTATGAAAAATGGCTAATATATTAACAAATAATGTTCAAATTCACCATGAACGGAATAAATTATGCGCGATTAATTCCGAATGCATCTTTTTTTCAAACAAAATAAAACATATTGAAATTAAAAAAAGTTATGCTCGGAAACGACATTATTTGGGGTTATTTTGGAAAATTCCTGATACGCATTTTTTTTTCTCCCTAACTTGGATCAGTTTTAAAGATTTATTATTTATTTTTTTAATACGGAATTTTTAACATTTTTGAATCTCCTTTTTCCAACTGCGAACCGTTAAAGTGTATCTAAATGCGTATTGCGTTATATTCTAGGATAACCCCGAGGGAGGAGAGGAGGAGGAGGAGACAGGAGATTCAGATCCATTGGAGAAATTCTTCGCAAAGAGAGGAGAGAAGCAACATAAGTCTGGGAAGAAGAAAGTGGTGAGTGGAGTAGGGAGTATGAAGTGGGAGTAGGGAGTAGGGAGTAGAAAGTGGGAGTAGGGAGTAGGGAGTAGGTAGTGGAGAGTGGAGAGTAGGGAGTGGAGAGTAGGGAGTAGAGAGTAGGGAGTAGGGAATAGGGAGTAGGGAGTAGGGAGTAGAGAGTGTAGAGTAAGAGTAGGGAGTAGGGAGTGGGGAGTACATTTCCCTCTAAACTTGTCAATAAAACATTTTTTAGTCATTTCTGAACTGTCAAAATATTTTCAAATAGCAAGGTATTTAGTTGAAAAAAAAATTTCGTTAACCACTTCCAGATGGAGCTGACAAAAGGTGTTTAAAAAAACGCGATTTTTCACCTTTTTCTTAATATTTGACCATCCAAAAACAAAACAAAAACGAAAAAAATTGTCAATTATCGTTTTAACCAAGTTAAAGGATTTCCAAAATGTTATCACTCTTTAAATTCCTTGAAAATTGACAGAGTTGACCCTATTTAGCCGAGAATGATTAAAAAAAGGTTAAGAAGGCAAAAAATAGCGGGGGAAAAAGTAAAATGGCCTTTTAGGAAAATTATTTTAAAATGTTAGAATTTCGTATTTGAGCCAGTTTTACCCTAATGCTTTCTAAAAAATGTGTCGCACATCTGGGATTTTTTTTCAGGGACACCCTCCCCCCCCCCCACATTAGTATTAAGTGGAAATAAACTTGTTCCTGCCCACGCACTTTTCTTACCTCATTCAGAGGGTGGGGTTCATACAGGGTGGAGCCAATATATTAATCAAATGCTGGGGCAACTTTAATTTCTATAAGAGAAAGGGTAAAGAAAGAGATGAAAATCTTTTTCCAAAGGGCATTCTTAAAGAATATTATGGTTTCGCTTTCCTGACTAAAATATTTATACAATTCCTTAAAATGAAAATCATTAACTACTTTAACATTAAACCATTTTACATTTATGTAATATTCCACCTTCCTAGCAATTTAAACCTAACCCACCTCCTTCTTTCTTCCAGCCTACTTCCCTTCCCCTTCTATCTTTCTTCTACCTTTCTTCTTCCTTCCCTTCAAACCTACTCTTCCAATTATCTTCCACACTTCAAACCTTCTCTTCCTACTGTCTTCCACCCTTCAAAGTACCAAGTCCCTATTCACTATCTTCCACCCATCAAACCCATTCTACCCATTATCTTCCAGCCTTCAAACCTAATCTTAATTGCTTTCATTCTTCCCTTCAAACCTACTCTACCTTTCATCTTTCTTCCATTCAAAGCTACTCTACCTATCATCTTTCTTCCATTCAAACCAACTCTACCTACTATCTTCCTTCCCTTCAAACCAACTCTACCTACTATCTTCCTTCCCTTCAAACCAACTCTACCTACTGCCTTCCTTCCCTTCAAGGCTTCTCTACCTACTGCCTTCCTTCCCTGCAAGTCTACTCTTTCTAACTATCCCTTCTATTCCCTTCAACGCTACTCCACCTACTACCTTCCAACCTTCCAGTCTACTTTTCCGTCCTAAGAACTTCCTTTTTTTTTCAAACCTACTCTACCTACTATCTTCCTTCCTTCCTTTCAAGCCTACCTGACCACTTTCTTCTTTCCTTCAAACTTACTTTTATGTTTTAACTACTAACCTTATTCCCTTCAAACCTACTCTTTCTAAGATCTTCCACCCTTCAACTCTACTCTTCCTACTATAATCCGTACTTTCAAACCTACTCAAACTGTTATTATTCTTTCCTTCAAACTTACATTAACCAGTAACCACTATCCTCCTTATATCTCCTTAAACCACTATCTATAAAACCTTTCTTGTTTTGCAACTGTTTCTTAATTTTATGCAGTTTAAGACGGGTAGGCGTTAAGGAGTTGTGCGTCATACACCTTAACATTGATCAGTTACGCATCTCATACTTCAGCCAGTTGTGCGTCATATTCCGTATCAACATTTACGCACAGTTTGTCCTCTGACATATTGGTACACTTACAGCGTGTCATAAAAAGTGAATTTGTTGAATAAAATGAAATGAATTAAAATGGCGTTCCGTTCACGATTAAAGCTCTTTGAAAGAAAACCAAATGTGAACAAGAAAACGATGACAATAAGGAACGCAAGAATAAGATGAAAACATGACAATATGACAATAATTTCGATTTTCTGTTTTGATATGTTTGTTGTTTCTGTTACAAGTAACAGAGTTGGTTTTGTAGCATTTTCCTTATTGTATTTTAATCAGACTAGTCAAGTTAAGTTCATAATTGAAAACAAAATAAAACGTCGCACAACTAAACACCACCGCCCTTTAAACATTGTATAATCTATGATGATTGAGATTTTTTTAATTGTATATCTTAAGATTGATTATTTTTAATTGTGGTTTCTCTCTCTTTCGGCTTCATGAACATAAAATATTTAAGAGAATTTGTTAGATAGAAAAATTCAAAAGTGTTATTATGAAAGAGCTTTAAGATACTTTTTGTTTCGGACGTGTTACTTTTTTAAAGGTTGGGGGGAGGGAGGGGTAACTTGAAATTACGTCCATGCATGTGGTAAATATCAAGTTTCTTTATTATTTATAAATCCTTTAACGAGGTTTGGTGAAACTTATGCATTTTCTTGCAAACTCTCTAATAGGACATTGAACTAATGCAGAACTAAACTCCACACTCCACAGGGCTGTACATATTTCCTAACTTGTTCTTCTAAACTAATTTGCAGAAAAGGCTAAAATTTTACATTTGATAATTTTAGATAATTTTGTTTACAACCTAAAGCTTTTATCTGGAGCAGTTGGGATTTTTTTCTTTGTATTTTTATTTTATATTTATTTACACTTTTACACATTTATGCATTTTATTTATGTATTAATATATTTATATATTTTCCTGATTTTTATGACAGGTGCATTTATTTACCACGAGTCAATGTCGTGACATCAATCCCACTTTTTTTCTATGTTTTTATTAATTCTATATGCGTATTATTTAATTCTATATGCGTATTATTTAATTCTTATATTAAGATTACGCACCCCTTGAATATTTCACACATCTCTTAAAATTTTTATTTTTCCTCATTAAAACATAATATTCAGAATTTAATTGCTTATTAAAAGTTTTTATTTAAGATAAATTATAAAAAATTGAATTGAATTTTTGTCTGTCCTCGGCACAATTTAGCCCAGGGATGGAGTGAGTAAGGGGGGGGTGTTCTGATTTTTCACATATTTTTAATTTCTGCGTACAGGACCAAGGATGGTCAGTTGATAGAAGTAAATGAGGATGGATCTCACGTGAAACCGAAAATCCCCGAAACTGCAAAAAACGGATTCCCGCTAAAACATGTGAATGGTGGGTCCCATAAAGGGACCAACAATTGTCTGGATATAAATGGGGGTTCCGAGAATACAGTTTCTAAGAGAAATGGAAGAATTCATGCGATTGTAAGTTTCAATCATTATCATCAATCATTTACCCGCCTCCTTTCTTACTCAGGTTTGGTTGGAATAGAAGGGATCTTCCTTCCCTTCAAACCAACTCTACCTACTATCTTCCTTCCCTTCAAACCAACTCTACCTACTGCCTTCCTTCCCTTCAAGGCTTCTCTACCATATTATCTCGTGCTTTGTAGTTGAATAAAAATATGAAAATATTTATCATTATGTCATAGATTTGGCACTTCTCAAGAAAACTTTAAACTATGCTAAGCAGTGCTTAGGGTCCATTTCCAGATTCGGATCTGCATTTCTTTAAGATTTACAGATTTTTCAACAAAAGATTATTTTTAAATGATTTTTCTCTTAGTTTCTCGTTTTGAAGTTAAAACCATTTAGAGAAAAAGAAATTTTTAATAATCTCTTTTTTATAAACAGTCAAGATTTGGGATTTGAGAGCAAAAGGTTTTCTTTTACAGGTTTTTTTTTATTTTTTTTGCCTCCGTGGATCCCAACTCTGCAGACTACAAGAATCTGATAAACTGATTCAATCATACTAATTATTAAATCTAACTTAAACATTATTAAAACTAAGATTAAGTACGAGTAAGTTAGAATTAGAAGACAGTGTGGCATCGGGGCAGAAATAGGAGAAGATAAGGATGAGTTAAAACGGAATGGTCGAGTAGGGGTATCATTATTTTCAGAGGATAGTGTGAGCTTAATTACATTTAATTAAAACCTAGGAAATCCATTCTCAAGAAAAGAGAAATAATACTTCAGCGATTTTAACCCTTTGCTCGACATTTAGGAACTTAAAACAGGCGTAATTTCAAGTAACACTCGATTTAAAAAAAAATGTTCTTTCTTAGCAACAACACGGAAGATATCAACGTTTTCTTATCTTAAAATGTATTAAATTCTCCAAATTTTCTATATTGTCTTTCCTTCATAAGTCCGGAAGTCACTTTCACAGAGAAATCACAATTGAAAATAATCACTTTTCAGTTATTAGAATTATTCTTTTTGTATCTGACAACGGTCTAAAGGGTAGCGTTGCACGGTTAGGAATGAGACATGCCACTCTTCTAAATGAAGGGTTAATTGAAATTACGTCTTAACTTTACAGTTCATTCCAGGCAAACTAAACCATTCTATTTTAGACTTTTGAAAATTTCGAGTTCCTGAAAGTGCTCGGGAAAGGAACTTTTGGGAAGGTAATCCTGTGTCGAGAGAAGACGACTTCACATCTTTACGCCATTAAAATTTTGAAAAAGGAAGTTATCATCAAGAAAGACGAGGTTAGAATGCATTATATTAAATTCTTAGATTTTAATGATCTAAATTATCTTTGATATACAAATATGGGTTACCATGAGAGAGCTTCACCATTTCAAACCATGTTCTAGAAATTTTTTTATTTATTTTTCTAATAAATATACTTCAACTATTAATAAATTTATCTTCAGTTTAGAAAATTACTTACTTTGTTTTATTTGTGTAGAGCACCCTTGGTAAATTTATGTTCAACTCAAATTCCAATCTGTTTTAGGTTGAACACACCCTGACAGAGAAAAGAGTTCTTCAATCCACAAACCATCCTTTTCTAACAGTAAGCACTCTTTCCTATGTTTATTTAGGCTAAACCATGTAACCCCAGTTAAGAAATAGGAATATTTGAAATCCCCCAATGAAAGCAGAATAATCTGTGACACTTTTTAGTTTATATTTACAATGTACATTTATTGTACAACCAAATAGATTATTTAATCTCAGTACAGCTGTATTCTGACATCACTCAACTCAGTTTTTGTGTCCGACAAAATTATTAATAACAGTGATAATTTATGAATAAAGTGGATATCTGACAGTAAAATAAGTGAATTATGTGTTCTTTAATTTCTGTTTTTTAACTTTTTACTAACTCTTGGAAAAATATCAACTAATGTAAGAAAATTTCGTTTTTCTTGTTATATTTGACAATTATGACGTCGTGTATAATGATAAATTTCTTCTTGATAATCTATTTGTGCACAACGAAAAATTGGTTGCTGCTTGTGTAAATTTTTAAGATATGGTTTTAACTGGAAGCTTGGCATGCAGTGCTAAGGATCCATTTAATTTTGATGCGGATCCGGATCCTGGATCCGCACTGGAAAAAAATGGATCCGGATCCGGATCCAGGTCATTTCTATAAGATTTACTGAATTCAACAAATAATTTTCAAATTTTTTGTTTTATTTTTTCGCTTATTTTTATCCTAAAACTTGATGAACCATTCAGAAAGGGTGGGGGGCATAACACGTATTACTCTCCGGGAAATTTAAACAGTGTATAAACATAATTTAGAATTGTCCTAGGAGGCTGATTTTTTGCATGCGAGCTGAACATTATGTATATTACATGCATTTTTTGGTTTTGAACGGATCTGAGCAAAAGTGCGCGCGCACGCGCGCTTTTTGTGAAAGAATACGACTTTTTTGGCAGTAAATCAATCTTAACTTCATTAATTGCACTTGAACATTTATCCTGATACTCTTGAAAAAAATATGCGCTCAAAAAATTCTTCTCCAAAGCCTTAAATATCCGCGCGCGCACGCAATAAAAGAAAATATCTTTGCATTCTTATTTGCTAAGTTTGGCCTAAGTCAGAATAAAAGTATCATGAGATACATCAAACTATAGCAAAATTGGGACAAGGAATTCATTTCCGAGGTCTAAATAGACATTGAAGCCTTCTGACCGGCGCGCTAGTAGCCGGCAGTTACATTATGGGTCAACTTAGCTCAGATTTTACATGTTGTATGTCGATTTATAGGTAATTGGGCACCAGGAATTCATTTCTGGGGTCAAAATAAATATTAGAGCTTTCTGACCCGCGTGTTAGTAGCCGGCAGTTACATCATGGGTCATCTTAGCACATATTTTACATGTTGTATGTCAATTTATAGGTAATTGGGCACCAGGAATTAATTTCTGGGGTCAAAATAAATATTAGAGCTTTCTGACCGGCGCGTTAGTAGCCGGCAGTTTCATTATGAGTCATCTTAGCACAGATTTTACATGTTGTAGGAGGCTGATTTTCTGCATGCAAGCTTAAGATTATGTATATTACATGCATTTTTTGGTTTTGAACGGATCTGAGCAAAAGTGCGCGCGCGCTTTTTGTGAAATTACGACTTTTTTTACAGTTAATCAGTCTTAACCTCATTACTTGCACTTGAACATATATCCTGATACTCCTGAAACAAAAATACGCTCAAAAAATTCACTTCCAAAGCTTAAAATGTCCGCGAGCGCACAATTTAAGAAAATATCTTTTAATACTTATTTGCTAAGTTTTGTTAGCTTAGAATAAAACTAGCATGAGATACAACAAACTATAGCAAAATTAGGACAAGGATTACATCTCCGAGGTCGAAATAGACATTGGAGCCTTCTGACCGGCGCGCTAGTAGGCAACCATTACATTTTGGGTCATCTTATCACAGATTTTACATGTTGTATGTCGATTGGGCACGAGGAGTTAATTTCTTGGGTAAAAACTTAGGTATGACCACTTTGAACGACGCGGTAGCAGCCAGCAGCCACCTTCTGGGTCATCCTGTCATATTTTATCATAGTTTGTACAGGTTGTATATCAGGGTTTAGGTTTAAGACCAGAGGAATCCATCTACGTGGAGTAAATCACAAGCAGAGCATTCTGAACTAGCATTGGTTTATCCAACTAAAATCTATGACATACCAAAAAACATTTTCAAATTGATATGTAACCATATTTTTAGAATCTTGGTCACAAGAATCTAAAAAGAAACCATAGAAACAATGCATGTTTGAAATGGAAAATTTGCAGGGAGATTATGATCTAAGTGATGATAATTCTCAATAATTTACTTGCTACTTGTTCAAACCAGTAAATGTGATAACCTTTATCTGTAAAGAACATTGGACATGACTAAATGTTTCTGTAAAATGTGTTAACTGTAAACATTGAATCGAATTGTATCTACAGATAAGTAGGATTTAGGATGGTCCTAGTACAAGTTTAAATTTTTATGAGGATACTGCTTTTTTGGGAACGTAAATAATCTTAAGGATTACAAGCATTCAAGTTTCAGTTCAATTTCTTTCTTGTATCCAAGTTGAATGTGGTATATATGTAATAAAACATCTGTGGTTTTTCAGATTATTAAAAAAAAAACCTTGGTGTTCCATATCCTAAATCCTACTTATCTTAAGATGCGAGCGAGCTCAAACTTCATTTTTTACCTAAGAAAAAGAACCCCCTTGTGTCTAGTACCCTAGAATCAACATACTACATGTAAAACATATGACAGGATGACCCAGAAGGTGACTGCTGGCTGCTAGTGCGTCGATCAGAGTAGTCTTACAAAAGTGTTTACCCAAGAAATGAACTTCTCGTGCCCTATTACCCATAAATCGACATATAACACGTAAAGTCTGTGCTAAGATTACCCATAATGTAATGGTTGGCTACTAGCGCGCCGGTCAGAATGCTCCCATATTTATTTTGACCTTAGAAAAGATTCCTTGTTCCCAATCTCCTATAAATCGACATGCAACAGGTAAAATTTGTGCCAAGATGACCCATAATGAAACTACATGATACTAGCGCGCCGGTCAGAATGCTCTAATATTTATTTTGACCCCAGAAATGAATTCCCGGTGCCCAATTACCTATAAATCGACATACAACATGTAAAATATGTGCTAAGATGACCCATGATGTAACTGCCGTCTACTTGCGCGCCGGTCAGAATGCTCCAATATTTATTTTGACCTCAGAAATGAATTCCTCATGCCCAATTACCTATAAATTGACATACAACATGTAAATTCTGTGCTAAGATGACCCATTAAGTAACTGCCGGCTACTAGCGCGCCGGTCAGAATGCTCCAATATTTATTTTGACCTCAGAAATGAATTCCTCGTGCCCAATTACCTATAAAAAATGCATGTAATATACATAATCTTAAGCTTGCATGCAAAAAAAAACAGCCTCCTACAACATGTAAAATCTGTGCTAAGATGACTCATAATGAAACTGCCGGCTACTAACGAGCCGGTCAGAATGTTCTAATATTTATTTTGACCCCAGAAATGAATTCCTGGTGCCCAATTACCTATAAATCGACATACAACATGTAAAATCTGAGCTAAGTTGCCCCATAATGTAACTGCCGGCTACTAGCGCGCCGGTCAGAAGGCTTCAATGTTTATTTTGACCTCGGAAATGGATTCCTTGTCCCAATTTTGCTATAGTTTGATGTATCTCATGATACTTTTATGATGACTTAGGCCAAACTTAGCAAATAAGTATTCAAAGATATTTTCTTTTATTGCGCGCGCGCGCGGATATTTAAGGCTTTGGAGGGAAATTTTTTGAGCGCATATTTTTTTCATGAGTATCAGGATAAATGTTCAAGTGCAATTAATGAAGTTAAGATTGATTTACTGCCAAAAAAGTCGTATTCTTTCACAAAAAGCGCGCGTGCGCGCGCACTTTTGCTCAGATCCGTTCAAAACCAAAAATGCATGTAATATACATAATTTTAAGCTCGCATGCAAAAAATCAGCCTCCTAGGACAATGCTAAGTTATGTTTATACACTGTTTAAATTTCCCGGAAATTTTTATAATCTCTCTTTTTTTCAAAAGTTCAGATTTTGGTTTAAGGAGTATAAAAGGTTTTTTTTGCAGTTTTTGGTTGATATTTTACCCCTTGGATCCGGATTCGTGGATCCTCATATTTTTGCGGATCCGGATCCAGGAAGCCAAAATCTTGCGGATCCAACGGATCCGAATCCCGATCCTAAGCACTGCTGGCATGATCATCTAATATTTTTGAGGAGCTGCGTTTTTAAATGTTTCGAACTTATTAATAGATAGTTTAAAGTGAGTAGACGCCTGCTGAGTGCTGAGAAATAGACGATCTTTTCATTCTAAATTAAAAAAATAATATTTTAAAAGATTTTTAATATTCTTTTGTATTGAATATTTAATGTTCATGGAAATTATGGAACATAAACCATTTTCGACATTTTTCAAAGCATTTAACTTGAGTTCTATTATCTTATTTTTCTACTAAAAAGTGTTGGAGGATTCAGAATGAAATGTCAAAAGAAGAAAAATAGAAATTCAAAATTTATTTTCAACTTTTCAATTCTTTGTGTTGTAATTCTAAAGCGAAAAAATCTCTTAATATTGCAAAATTGTCAAAAAATTAAGTTCTAACATTAATTTAAATCTGTTTTTCTAGAGTTTAAAGTACTCGTTTACCACCGAGGATCGTCTTTGCTTCGTAATGGAATATGTGAACGGAGGAGAGTTATTCTTCCATCTATCTAAGGAGAGACAGTTCTCAGAGGTAAATATTTTATTCTAAAATCCCCCCCCTCTCAGAGGGGGGGGGTAATTTTGAAGAGAAAAAACCGATTCACATTCCCTTGTCCAGGATCGTACCAAGTTCTATGGAGCTGAAATCATCTCTGCTATTGATTATCTTCATAAACGTGGAATTATCTATAGGGATCTAAAGGTGAACAAATCAATAACGAAATCAATTTTTATTAAAGATTTAAGATTTCCTTAAATATTTAAGTACAAAACCTTTTCATTTCTCACTCTTTCAATTTGTTTAATACAAACTCAAAACTAAATTTGGCAGTTGGAGAACCTTCTTTTGGATAAGGATGGGCACATCAAGATAGCAGGTACACTCTAAACACTTGACACTCCACACTCGGCATATTACACTCCACACTTGACACTCTACACTCGACACTTGACACTGGAAACTTGACACTCGGTACTTGACAATCGGCACTCGACACTTGGTACTCGACACATGATACTTGACACTCGGCACTTGACACTTGACACTCAACACTTAGCACTCGACACTTAACACTTCACAATCGACACTTAAAAAAACGATCAAAAAAATCCTCTCCTAAAATATTGGGGAAACAATTTTCGGAGAGAATTAAAATTGATTATCAAAAACAGGTCTCCACGAAGATATCAACGTGTATTATTTGTAGATTTTGGATTGTGCAAAGAAGATATTGAATGGGGAAAATTCACCAAAACGTTTTGTGGAACCCCAGAATATCTTGCACCAGAGGTGAGAATCTTTACATAAAAATAATTATTTAACAAATTGTAAATGTTTTAAATAGATATTTGTTTAAGAACCTAAATATGGGATCCCATGAAGAGTAATAAATTAATAATGGAAAACAATTCCTTGAATCCCCTGAAGAGTTAGTTGACTCTAGCAAACAATCCCTTGAAGAGTAAGTTGAATTTAGCAAACAATCCCTTGAAGAGTTAGTTGAATTCAGCAAACAATCCCTTGAAGAGTTAGTTGAATTTAGCAAACAATCCCTTGAAGAGTTAGTTGAATTCAGCAAACAATCCCTTGAAGAGTTAGTTGAATTTAGCAAACAATCCCTTGAAGAGTTAGTTGAATTTAGCAAACAATCCATTGAAGAGTTAGTTGAATTTAGCAAACAATCCCTTGAAGGGTTAGTTGAATTTAGCAAACAATCCATTGAAGAGTTAGTTGAATTCAGCAAACAATCCATTGAAGAGTTAGTTGAATTCAGCAAACAATCTCTTTAAGAGTTAGTTGAATTGAATTCAGTAAACAGGTCCTTTAATAGTTAGTTAAATTTAGAAAACAGTCTCTTTAATATTAAGTTGAATTTAGCAAACAATCCCTTTAAGAGTAAGTTGACTTTAGCAAACAATCACTTAAAGAGAAAGTTGACTAGCAAACCATCCCTTAAAGAGTAAGTTGAATTTTGCAAACACGCCCTTGCAGAGTAAGTTGATATTGTACTGCCAGATTACAACCCCTGGCATATCAATAAAACCCCTTCATCACCAAACTTTTGTAATAGAAAAATTCCGAGATTTGATCGTTACAACCCGATTATGTTCTGGGGACAAACAAATCTCGTTGAAAGAAAATCAGCTAACAGTCCTTTTAAGAGTATTTTATCTAGGTGTTGGAGGATAATGATTATGGACGAGCTGTGGACTGGTGGGGGGTTGGGGTCGTCATGTACGAGATGATGGTTGGTCGTCTTCCGTTCTACAATAGGAAACCATTATCAAACATCCTCTCAAAAACATTGTGCTTTCTCAACTATTGGGCTTCATCATAGAAAATTAAAGAGAAAAACGTTTTTAACAGTTGATGGGGG